GGAAAATCCCCCAGAGCCCTCAGGGATCCATCCGGATCCATCCAGCTCTGAAGGCTGACCATCGTAATGGGGTCCGCACCCTTTACAGAAGGAAAGGCCAGCTCTGAGCTCAAACCTCACGAGGAAGTGATCTGACCATGACAAGGGAGTCAGACGTAAGTTCCTCACTTCCAGATCACCCTCTTCCTGCCCTGTCGAGAAAAACAGGTCCAGAGTGTGACCTCGTTCATGGGTTGGGCCAATGACATGTTGAGACAGCCCCATGGCTGTCATGGAAGCCATGAAATCCTGAGCCGCCCCGGTCAGAACAGTCTCGGCGTGGAGATTGAAGTCCCCCAGGATGCTGGTCCTGGGGGACTTCAACACCAGGTCTGAGACAATCTCCATCAGCTCAGGCAGGGAGTCTGATGGGCAGAAGGGTGCATGGTACACCCAACAGAATCCCTAATCTGTCTCGGTCACCCACCGCCAGGTATAAGCACTCTAGGCCTGGTCACGAAGAGACAGGATACTTATACTGCAAGCCTGCAAGGATAACCAGCCACCACCAATAATTCAATGGTCTGAGGATCTTATTGCACTCCCTCTATTCGAACATTTATACTTGTCAATCACATGTGGATATTCATTCGGACATATGAACTACTTAGATTAATGCATATATTTAAGATATATGTCTTAGATTTTACTAACATTGTTGCAAACTGTTTCATTTTTTCCTGTCACATTTGCAGATTTGTTTAAACTTAAAATTTTAAAATTGTAATAATAACAACATGTTAAGTTTTGCTGTAGAATAGTTCCCTAAAAGCCAAGTCATGGCCACTGTTTAACAAAGGACATTTTTCCTGTATGAGCCCACATGAGTGTAGGAAAATAATTGTGTCCTCCACAAATTGCAGACTTCTTCCATCATTATCATCATCATTGCTGTGACCATCAACTGATTAGATTAGCAGTGTGATCCTTGTTTACTCAGAAACCCTATTGAGTTAAATGAGAGTTAGATCAATGTAAATATACATAATATTGCAAGCTGAATAAGAATTGGTTGATCGTTTATCCACCTTTTAATCAAATCATCAATTTTATTGATTATATTGAAATAAATTTGCACATAACTGAATCCTTCAATATAGCTGCCTTTGGCCCAGATTTTACCAAAGTATTCTATAGCAAAATCTAATACTTTATTATTATTGTTTTTAATTTTTTGAAATATGTGCAAGATAACGAACTTCAGGTGCAATCCCATGCAAGTTAGAAAAAAGGCATTAACTCCCAGCATGCCCAGACAGCGAAGCTTTGGGCAAAATTCTATACATGGTTGCACAGAAAAAAAGTCCAGAATTCTCTGCATGCTCCAGCCAACACTGCTATTATGAGTTAGAGGTCTATTATGCCTTATATAGAAGCAATGTGGCTATAGAACACACAATCACAGGAATGCTGTTAGGAAAACCAAAGCTAAGAATGAGCTGAGGTTCACAAGAAAAGTTAAAAGCAAAAGAAAAGCATCTTTAGATATATATATCTGGATCGTCAGAGGAAAGAAACGGTGGTTGAAGGACTTAATGGGGATGGCAAAACGATAAGAGATAACCAAAAAAATAAAGCTTCCCCCATCCTCAAGAGCTCAATTCCTCCATTGGCACAGTCTTCTCCCAAGGGACAGTCTATGATCTCTGTGGATAAGATATAGGCTAAAGGGGCAGGGTTGCAGCTCAAGACGGATAGGCAAATGGACAGGGTTCATCTAATTGGGTTGAATGAGTTCAAATCTCCAGGCCCAATGAACCCCATCCTAGAGTCATAAAGGAGCTGGCAGAAGAACTCTCAGAACCACTGTCTATTATCTTTGAGAAAGCAAGTGCAGGACAGGGGAAGTGCCAGGTGACTGGAGAAGGGCTAATGTTGTCCCTTTCTTCAGGAAAGGGAAAAAAAACCTAGGAACCTACAGATCAGTCAGTTTGACATCAGTCCCTGAGAAATTTCTGGAGCAAATTATAAAGCAGTTCAGTCTGCAAACACCTTAAAAATAATGCAGTGATTACCAGAAGCTAACATGGATTTCTCAAGAACAAATCCTGCAAGGCTAATCTGATCTCCTTTTCTGATCGGGTAGCCTCCTCGATGGACTGTGGTACTGCTGTGGACCTACCATAGCCTGACTTCGGCAAAGCTTTTGATAGAGTGACCCATGATATCCTGTGCAAAGTAGCTCAGATTGGCTGGATGGAACTTCTGTCAGGTGGATCTATTGGTGACTACAGAATGGATTCAAAGAGTGCTTATTAATGGCACCTTCTCAAACCAGGGAGAGGTAGCAAGTGGGGTACTGCAGGGTTCAGTCCTGGTCCCAGTTCTCTTCAACATTTTTATTATTGAGATGCAATATTAATGCAATGCAAGAAACATTTACCACATGTGCAGATAATACATAATTGGGTGGGGTAGTTATTATCCTCAAAGGCAGAAACAAAGTTCAAAGTGATCCTGATGAGTTTGAGCACTGGGCTGAAAACAGCAGAATGAAATTTAACAGGGACAAAAGCCAAGTTCTAGCAAAGAAACCAAATGCATTATTACAAGATGGAAGATACTTGGCTCAATACACATGCAGGAAGGATCTTGGAACTGTTGTAGGTCACATGCTCAATGCAAGTTAATAATGTGATGTAGCTGCAAAAAAGGCAAATACTATTTTGGGCTGTATTAGCAGGTTGTGGGTTCTCCCACACTGGAGGCATTTGAGATGCAGCTGGACAGCCTTCTGTTAGGGATGATTTAAGTAGGAGGCCGCTTCCATCGCCACTCTTTAATGATTCTATTAACTTTATAATAATAATATCAAGAGTTGAGATCCCGTGGTGCATTAATACAAGTAAAATCAAATAACAAAATGGGTAAATCAGGACTGTAGTTGGACTTAGTTTTTAATTTTGATAAAAATGTTATTGATTTGGATTATTAGCATGGACATTCCAATTAGCCACACTTTTGATGACATTTTTATGCTTACATAATCAGCTGTCCATTTCTTTGCATGGACCCATTTGTGCTGCCTGCAGTTCCTAGTCTGTAAAAGTGCTATAAAATCAAATGTCCCATGATGTCTTTTTCTGAGTTTTAATCAAAGTGTGGGAAGCTGGGGTGGCTGCAAGCTGTAGGAGAGATAGTTGTACAGTGCAAGACAGGACAACTGCACACACCCCACAACCACATTTTAAGCAAGGTAAGCACAAAAACTATGAAGCAAACCCATGATAATTTCTCCAAAAGGTCTTCTCCTTTGAATTTTTTTCTTCCAAAAACAATTCCTTTACTATTAAACTATGAGTGAGAAAGATAGAAAATGATATGGGTGACATTTTTGACATAGCACTGTTTTCTATACATTTTGTCCTGGGATAACAATCTACAATCACTGTATTGGCCCAGTGGAGTGTAAGGGTACTTGCTGAAAACCAAACTTACTTAAAATTATCTAAAGGTTTCTTTTAAGGGTAAAAACTTCTCAGGGCAGAGATACATGGACAGGTGCTGGAAGGAGAGAGATGATGTTTTTAAAATTTTGCAAACTGCTTGAAATGCTTTTGTATCCTTAAAAGGACGCCTAAAACTATTTGAAATAAATAATAAAAAGTAGTCCATGCTGGTAAACCCAATTCTGAAATATTCCAGTGAGCAAGAAAATATGAGCAACATGAAATTGAATTATTTTATTATTTACTTGTAATACTTTTTTACCACTTAATAGATTACAATTCCACAGTGCTTCATGTTAACACAATGTGAATAATGTTCTAGCTACAAACGGTGTTGTCAGTGTTGGACCGGGACTTGGAAGACCGGATTCTGGGCCCTTACAAAGCTCAGCTGTGAAGCTCAGCCCATCCTAGCTCACATCGGGGTGCAGTTGGAGGGCATCAATGGCGAGGAAGATCATACAAGCTGCCTTGGGTCTTTAGAAGAATGATGGATAATAACTCCGACATGAAGCTCACTGGGCGACTCTGGGGCAGCCACTGATTGACAACCCAGCCTACTTTGCAGGATTGTCGTGTGGCTCAAATGGAACGGAAGACTGCCTACGCAGCTTGGGTACCTCCGCAGGAGAAGAGGCAGGATGTACGTGCAAAGCAATAATACACAGCACAGCTCTCCGGTTCCCAGTCTCTCGAGCTCTGCAAGGAAGGGCCCCGACTGCCCTTTTTCGCATCTCTTTCCCTCCCCAGGAGGAGGAGGAGGAGGAGGAGGAGGGCCCATTTTCAACCCCGCTCCCGGTCCTTGCCCAGGCTGCGCCCGCTGGCCCTCGCCTTGCGCCCTGCCACGTGGGCGCCCTCCCCGCTCGGCCCGGCCTGGCCCGGCCCGGCCCGGCCCGGCGCGGCCGAGCCCTGCCCGCCCCCGCCCCCGCCTCCGCGCTCCGCCTCCTCCCCTCCGCGAGCTCCGTCCGCCCCGCTCCCTCTCTCCGCCGCCAGCCGCGCGTCCGGCGGTAGGTAGACGCTTATTCGCTCGCCGTTTCCGGGGGTGACGGTGGTGGGAAGCGGGCTCTGCCCGGCGACGCGCTTCCCGGGGCGGCCGAGCAGGCGCCGTACTAGCGGCTTGCCGCCCGCCGGCTCGGCTCGGCTCCGCGGGGGCGCGCTGACGGGCTTCGACTGCAGGCTCTCCGCCGGGCCTTCCTGCGAGGGCTGCGGCGGTTGAGGCGCCGCCGGGCTCTTCCCTCCGAGGAACCGAGCGCCCGTTCCACCCAGCCGGAAGGCGCGTCGGCCGCGGAGGGAAGGAAGGAGGCAAGCGAGCCGGGCTTTGGCGACCTCAGCGCACCACTCCAGAAGCACAGCCGAGCACCTGGCCTGGATCCGGCTTTGCCTAGGCGGCATTTTTGCCTGGAACAGCTAAGGCCTTTTCCATCCGTACCAGTAGCTCATCAGCGCCTAAAAAATAAGTGGGATAATAGGGGAGCCTTCCTTCCCAGTTCTTAACAAGTGCACGATACTTGGTTGTGCACAGACGATCTTGACAATGTTTTTTAGTTTTGCCATTCAACCGAGAAATGTCACGCAAGATGGCTTACAGACAGGAATAAAAGATGCAAGCAAGAGAGCAATGCAATACATGCTGGTACTGTAAAAGCAACTCCTTCCACGTGCTGGTGCGTGCTTGCCTGCTGTCATTTACCATCGTAACTGTGCATGGAAAAGAGATGCTTGTGTGCCCTTTGCACATGATGGGCATCACCTAACCCTAACCTTAAAATTTAGCTGCGCTCAAATTTCTTTGTACTTCCTGAGCAATGAGGCATCAATATAGAAGTTGAGAAGGAATGATTGGGTGCAGAAGCACCCACGGAGAAGTTCTAGCTCCAGAGCTGCAAACATGCATGCCTTTAGATACATTCACTTACTGAACCTACAGGCCAAAACTAGAGCAATGCCAAACATTCAGTTGTTTTGAGCTCAGGCATGAAAATAATTGAGACATTGTTCCTCCAGACTCTCCCACACTTTGCCTTGTTTGCTGGTTGCTTGTTTTATGATGCACAGCATTTAAAAAAAGAAGAAGCACACACTTCTTTTTCCTGAGAACAGTGATTGTGGCCAGTATACACGAATTGAATGACAGTGTGACACTATGTAGCCTATCAGAGAGAGGCGTGTGATGCCAAGTCCATTCAGGGGGGTGGTAGTGCTTTCTGGACCAAAAGTCTGGATAGGCAAACTGCCCCAAATTGCCAAAGGGGATAGAGGTGCTTTTGAGACCTGCAGAAGGCTTTCGTAAAAAATTACCTTCTCCTTTTTGGCTTATCTCTGCCAAAATCCCCTTCAGAAATCCTTTTGCTAAGAAAAATACTATAAAAACGCTCACCAAGCAAGTTTTTTGGCTTAAATTGTCATTAGTAGGGGTTTTTGGTGATAACATAAAAGGAAAAGGATTGAGCATTATTTAGGAATAATGGTGTGCATTATTTTAGAAAATACATGTTAGTACACTGGCGGACTGGTCCTTTTCTTTGTGAAGTATTTCATGAGCTGTAGAAAGTGATTTGATTATAGTGAACCCCATTTTGAGCAAGATTCATAAATAATGAATATATTTTCTTATTAATCCATATTTTAGTTTAACTTGGGCTCATAGCAAGTTACTTCCTCAGGGAATGCAGATTTTTTTTTTCCTTTTTACAAGAGAAGGTGATGAGCTATGATCCCCTGAGAATTAAATTGCAAAAACAATCTTGGTTTCATACATGCTAAGATAGATCTTTTATTCCCTTTCCACATCTATTGCAAGACATTTTAAATTGTGGCTGATCTTTTATGCAAATAGCTGTCTTATTAGACATTGCGGCTGTATGTGCTAATGTCTCCATGGGTTTCTTGGGAGTTTGCTATCTAACCATCAAAGCAGTTGAAATGAATGATGATTACTGCACAGCTTTGAAGAACAAAGAAAAGTCACAGCAATTTTAGAGGTCTTGGTTGCTGCAAAATCAGTGACAGCTTGAACCACACAGATATCCAGGAAGTTCTCTATGGCTCATATTAAGTAGGCCAAACTTTTTAAAATAGCAACATAAAAATTATTTTTCACATCGTAATTTAATGGCAGCTACAAAAGTGCATTTGTGATTAATTGCTGACGTTTTGTTGCAAAATATTACAAGGTTCCTAAAGGCAAATAAAAAGTCTTTCATCTAGTAAATAAATGGCAAACTGGATATTATACATAAAATTTAAATATTGCCTTCATATTTTGTCCCTTTCCCCCCCTCATTTGGGATTTGTTGACATTGAAGATGGAACAAAAAAATAAAAAGGGCTTTTCATTGTGTATAGTTGTATTCTCAGTGCCCTGATTTTATTTCATGGCACAGTATGACCCCTAGATACATTACAAAACTGTATCATTTTTGTACCACTCCAACTGTTACAAATTTCCACGAAGAATCCTGGGAATTGTAGTTCTCTGAGGATGCTCACAATTCTGCAGGCTTCCCTGAAAGAACTGCATTCTCAGGTTCTTCCTAGGTTTCTGGGAGACAGGAAGATGTCTGTTCAAGTCTGTATTGTGCATTTGTAGAGGTAAAAGAGGACTGTAAAAGCCTGAAACCTCTGCTGAATCTATAACAAGGTCATTACGAAGGGTTCCTTATCTGAAACATTTTTAAAATACTTGATGTGCAATCCTATGTATTTTTGTAGACAGAACAAAGGCCCACAACTCTTAATGTGCCCTAGCTAGCCTTTTTTCTGTCTGAACATGCATAGGATTCTACCTTTGCTGATGCAAAATGCATGGTGTCTATCATCTCTACTTAATGCACATGGCCTTGAAGAACATGCATATTAATTTCTGTCAGCACAAGTTTGACTATTGTATATGGCTTTCAGTATAATCCCTCTGTGTATCTGAGGTATGCACAGAGATGTTTCCGTCTGAGTACACAGCAAAGATAGCAAGATAGTATGAAGAACCTGCAGAAATGGTTGGGTTTGCACATTATTACACTTCTGATTTAAAGTGGATTTAAAGTACAGCAGATTGGTGGTTAGATGTCTGCTTAGGAAAATCTACAAGGCAGAAAGGTGGTGAGTCCAACGCAGCAAGAAATTGCCATAGCACTGTCCATAACAGGGTTGTGTTCCCTAATGATTTTAGTGAGACTCATGTCAGCTGTGGCCGTGGAACCAGTGGGCTGGGGAGTGTGTGTGCAGTGCAGCATCTGGAAGGCTACAACATGTTCCCTTCCTTGATAAAGAAAATGCAGATAAGAGCCAGTGTTGCATAGATGATCAGAATGGGGACCTAGGAGATCCAGGTTCTCGTCCCCATTTGGCCATGAACCTCACTGGGTGACTTTGGGGCATTCACCTCCAGCCTAACACACCTCACAAGGTGGGGTAAAAATGGAGTGGAGGAGAATGTTGTATACTGCCTTGGGTTCCTCACAAGAGGAAAACACGGTAGGATATAAATACGATAACTATATATGTGTGTGTCTGAATCATGTCTGAATATTGGAGAAATTTCCCTGTGTTAAGGCAAACTACTAAAAAGATTCCAAATGAAATGTGGTAAAGAAACTCTTGCATGTAGATAACTACAGTAATTCATATAGCCTGAGCAGAAGGCATTTTCTCTTAACACATGAGAAAAGGAAGACCGTCTAGTGATTACATCCCACAAACATTGAAAAGCGGCAATAATGAATTAAAGCAACTTACAGCTTATAAATGCCTACTCATACAAAGGTTCCTCTGACTACATGGGGAATTACTACCAGGAAAATGTGTACAGCATGCAACCTTAGTGTTTGGAAAATGATTCTATGCAACAGATAAATACTGATAGCAGTCCTGATTGTACAAAAGCATGGATAACTTTCTTCTCATCTCAGCATATTACATTAATGCTTTTGGTGTGCATCTGTGAAATATATGTATATTCATATTTATTTACTTAATAGCCTGCCTTTCAGCTGCTGAAACACCACTCAGGGAGGTTTGCAATGCATTAAGAGCAACAATAACCATTCTTAAAGCTTTGTCATCTTTCTTTACAGAGCTTCTGATTGTGGAAAAATGGGTAGAAAGGATGTTTCTTCAGGAAGAATGCCTCTTGATCAATACAGAAAACAAATAGGTAAAAATGTTTCTTGGATCTGCACAGATGACCTAATGCTTCCTCCACCCCTTTGAATTTTTGTGAGTGCTACATATTCTTACAGAACAGACCGTGGCTGCTAAACCAATTGTTTACTGCCATTTACCAGTGTGTTTTGAATAGTATCTCTCTTTACTGATATAATTCCCCAGTGTTTTCTTTTAACTTTAAATGTTTTAATAAATAATATAAATAAATTAAATAAATAAATAAACAAACTTAAAGAAGCACATTATTAGTATTACATTTGAGTTCCAAAACACTTGATACTTTTTGGCAGTCTCCGGTGGACTCATTCTGCAAACTCAATAACAGTCAAAAGTGAAGGTCCACCAAATCTTCCATTGGGGCAAGTGGTTCGCACCAAGAATTGATTGGTGGACCTTCTGTTGTACACCCAATTATGCAAGTGCAATGCATAACTAGTTGCACAACTATGCTTGCATAATTGTAACTTCTGTTGGATTCTTCTCTTGCACATGGTTTGGACCCTAGCTTTGGCTAGCACAACATAATTCACTCTAATAAAATTACACAGTTGGATACTGCCTTTTGAGTTGATTTCATAGTGCATAATTACCCAGATGTATTAGAGGTCCAGCGATCTTGACTGGTGGTCAGATGGAATTCTTGTCCAAAATACCTGGAGCATATAGGTTGCCTACTTGTGCTAAATAAATAAATAAGCAAGTGATCCAGTAAATAGGTAAACAATCCGTAACTCTCCAGCAGTCCATAATTCTCCAGGCATCCTATGCATGCCTCTCCAAGTGTTCAGTCTCAAAGCAGGCAGGAAGAGGTCTCAGGTAACATCAGGATAGTCTGTATGCTGGCAGAGGTTGTTTCTTTTCCTTGTCCCTCAAAGCCTCTCTCTAAGATTGCATGTTTCTGAATTCAGAACTGGGACTCTGAAAGTACACAATGCAGCCTAGCACTAGCTGAACATATGATCATGTGTTCCAGCTCAGAAGTTTTGTCAGCAGTGCTGTGCTGAAACCTCAACTTGCAATGAAAAATCAGGACTTGTATGTGGGTTGAAGCAATTGCAGAGCTGTTTCAGTGCAGTCCCAGACTGGCACCATTTGCCCAAGTGCTATTTGAAGAAGAATTCATGTTTGGTATGAAACCAAATGGATTGTGGGCTACTCCTTACAGGGTTGAATCCATGAATAGTCCTGTAAGCACATTGCCTCAGTCTGTTGCTTGAGATGTTTTGCCTAGATTGCCCTCACTTAAGGCAAGAAAAAACGAAGAAGAAATAAGAATGAATGTTCTTCTGATCCATCAGAGAGAGGAAAGACCTCTAGGTCAGCATGTATTTCATGTGCTGCTTTGCTGCTCTCACTACTCTATATGGGGTATAAAATCCCTCTTTAATTTTCTAACATAAGAATAAAAGTGATAGAAGCAATCAACACAAAACTTTCTTTTATTTTCACATTGCATGTTCAGAGACCTCCACTACCAGAAGGTTCAGTCTGTAGCGCAGTATCTGGTACACATTCCTTTCTTCTTCAGTTTGTGGTAGATAATAGATAGAGGGGGTTTTCTGCACAATTCCCGTGTGCTATAGCTGCATGTGGTCTTTATGAAAATATTCTAGCAACTAACCCTTAAGTTACAGTAGAAGAATTTAGGATGTAGGAAACTTTGGCTCTTTATTTCTGCAGAAATGTCTTGTGGCCACTCTATAATGACAGATTTCCAAGGAAACTGTGGAATATCTTGAATTTCTGTGGAGTTTATGAGAAACTTCTACACGTGCCTGAGTTTTCTTCCTATTTTTCCCATCTCTACCTGCTTGAATGTGCAACGGTTTGCACACCCAGGTGCCATTCCTGGAAAATTCTGCACTGTTCACTCATCGCCTAGTTCCTGTACAAAGGCTGCAAAGAGGGACAGCCCCTAAATTGCATGTTTGGGAGCACAGTTGATCACCAAAATTGGCTTACTAGCCTCATTTTATGTGGCATGTAACTTTTTAAAATATACCACAAAGCCTTGTGAGCAGACCAGTGTTTTGTAACACATTTATTATGTGATTTAAGGTGCAATTCTGTACATTTTTAAACAGAAAAATGTCCTACAAATCCCAGAATTTACAGGTGTGTAGGGAATTGTAGGACTTTTTGTGCCAAAATATGCATAGGATTGTGTCCTTACAAAAGTGTAAGATATTAAATATATCTTACAATTGATCAATCAATCATTTATTAATTATTTAGCAATCACTCTGGGCATGAAAGTTACATAAAGCAATCTAAAGCTTCTTCTGCCAGGAATTTATATTAGGAAACAGACATTCTTACTCATTAACTACTGAGAATTGATTTACAGACAGCTGCCTTTAATCCTTTGTTTCAAGTTAAGGAATTTTTCTCTAGGTACTCTTCTTCATTACATCTCTTTCACTTAAGCAGGTGTGTTATTTACTCGGGTGCTGATTAAACTATGATATTATTATCACATAAAAGCATTGCCAGCACCAGTGTAATGATGTTGCAAAAATTAGGCTGAGGATCCAGTAGCAAACTACAAAGATTTTATTTCTTTTGGCACAAACAGCTGCATTTGTACCTGCTTAGAGTACATAAAAACATTTGTATTGTCCCTTGGTTCCCCCCCCCCCCCCCCCCGGCCACTTTTTGAACCTCCCTTCTTTGAAATGGAGTAAATACGTATCTTCCTGGGAGTTAAATACAGTGCCTTGGAGAAGTATTCAGCCCCTACATTGGACTTTTCCACATTTCATTGTGTTGAACTAGATTTAGTTGGCATTGTTACCATTTGATGTACCCAAGATGCTTTACATTTTGAAGTTGCAAAATATTTTATTTTGTGGCACAAAAATGAACAAAAACAAAATGTAGCAAAGTCAGAGGGGCTGAATCCTTCTGCAAGTTACTGTATAGATTTAAGATTGTATATAATCCTTTATACACCTGCTTCTGAGAAGACATGCATAGGTTTTTACTGCAAGGTGGGTAAAATGCTAAACTGCAGACATGATTGATGAATAGGATATGACAGAGCTTCTTGAACGTGTACACCATCCACAGTAATGTATCTTTTCCGTTTCTAGCACTGATAGCAGAAGAAGGAAATGGATGATGTTGTATGTGTAGTGTTTTTCTCCAATTAGAGGTGGGTGGTCACACATTCCAGCTGGTAGGAATTCCCTGTCCTATTGGTAGTATTCAGCTTCTCTAGACTATCTAGGATGTGTTCAGCCTTAGAACAATGTAAGGATGAACATTAGCCTTAAAAGTAAAGATGAAAATTAGGTGCCCCTACCACATCCCCAGAACACGACCCAATAGCCTGTAGGTATCATGCAGAAGAATCAACATGGAGTCAGAAGAGTCTTGCTTGCCCTCTGTGTCTCCTGCTTCACGCACAGTTCTGTTTGCAACTGTGGCTCTTTGACATTGAGGACCTCAAAGGTGCATAAGACCCCTTTCTGTATTCTTATGGTATCTCTGTGTCCAATTTTCGAAAGGCAGAAAAGAGGAAAGGGAGCATGTTTTCTAGAAAACCTGAGTTATTTTTCTTGCATTAGCTTAGAACAGATCCAAAATTCAGGGAGCTGAGTATGTGTTATTTTTAAGTGAATAGATGCTGTATCCATCCCAGCCAACTGTACAATTGAAAAGAATGGAGGAATACGATCATGAATTAAACAGGTTGTTTCCTTTTGTTGAAGTGAATAGGAAATTCATGCTGAGTGACTGTAGTAACTATTAACCTTTGTCAAGCATCCCTTGAGCTCCCAGCACAAAACAGTAAAACCATCAAAGTGACACAGGTTAAAGAAGCAGAAATGCACTCGTTTCCAACACAGCACTTTTTAACAGTACAGTATTTTTAACCTGTCAAATAAATACCTGATTGTCACTGCTGTATCTTATAGTCATATAAAACTTATGAACCGCAATATATACTTTGGCTTAAAAAACAGCTTGATTTAGCAGAAGAGAATGTCAAAAGAGCTCTTTCTTGTAGGTTCTTCATAAGAGGAATGTCCCCGAAGAAGGAATTTTATTCCAAAATAGGTTGGACATGGGGGAAAAAAAAAGTGTGATCCTGGGCACTCAGAATGAGTCCTGCTGGGTTTAATGGTGCTTACTTCTAGGGAGTTGGATGCAGTTAAAGTCTTTGGGTGCAATCCTACGTTGGCTCAGATGGAAAAAAATGTCCTATATCTCCTAGTGTGCCCCAGCCTGCATGGCAGGTACATGCAAGCTGGAACTTGGAGGAGCTTTTTCCTGTCAAACCATGCATCAGTTAGTACTGTTAGGCGCTTTGAAGATCTTTTCTTCCTTTTATTACCTATATTCATTGCCTCTTCACTTTATTGGTCTGGTGTGTCTTTTTTCTGGACACACAAAATAATCTCAAACCATTTATTTATTAGATTTATATCCTGCTTTTTTTCTTACAACAAAACAAAGTGGCTTACATCATTCTCTTCCTTCTGCTCTCAGGCTTATCTCCACAACAACTGGCCCAAAGTTACCTGTTGGCTCCATGGCTGAGTGGGGACTAGAACCCAGATCTTCTGAGTCCCAGTCCTGTGCTCTTGACCACTACACCTCATTGGTTTTCATTATAACTACTATAGGGGAAGGACTTGTTTCTGGAAAGCTAGAAATCAGTGTATATCAAAGAGGAAGTAGTGCTTTGATTTGGCTTGGTGGTTGCAGGTTTCCTGTGCAAGGGCTGGTCAAAACTCTTTTTTCTGTGAGGACTGCAGAGGATCACACAGGCATGAAAATCAGGTAATCGAGGGATGGACTGTATCATTAAGAAGGCAGATGTGTATAAACACATCTCTTACTGATAAATGGGGCAGTAGGTGTTGTTGGGAAGCAGAAAGAGCGTGTGATAAGGCCACCCTAACCAGGGTATTTATGTGTCCATTGAAAATACTGTTATCATTAACATAGGTCAGTGTGCAAAATTCATTTAAACAAACAAAA